TTTAGAAATATTAACTTATTTAATCCTCATAGCAATCTTGTTATTTATTATCCACATTTTATAAGTAAGGAAACTGAGCCACAGTCAGAGTAATTTATTTGACCAAAGTTACACAGCTAGTAAGTAATTGTTTGTACGGATTTAAACCTGGCCTTTAACTATTTTGATACACTTTTTAGCATTTCTCTCTGCCGCTGTCAGTTTGTGGTACTCTGGTAGTTGGCATGTTGCTGTACTGACTTTCAAAGACCTGCCAGGGTGTCACCTATGGTGGACAAGTTTCAGTGAAACTTCAGATGAAGAAAGGCCTAGCAATCTACTTCTGAAAAATTAGCCAATGGGAAGGTTTTAGATTAGAATATGTCGAGTTGCCATGGGTAGGAGATGGCTCCATGGCTCCTAAGGACCCAAGGGCAGCACTCAACAACAGCAACAATACTGCATATTCCTTAAACTGGTCGTGAATTTACACTACAACTGATTTATTGTGGCTCTGTTTTCTTTTTTAAACTTTGATTTCCTAGAGAAGGAGTTGATAAGTTTATAATGATAGATTTCTTAAATTAATTTACCCCCATTTCTTTTTACTTGACTGAATTCCCCACCAGAAGTAATAAACTTGGAACAAAAGGCAGAGAGGTTGGGAAGAGCCATTAGGAAAAGTTGCCAGGCTACTGACCAGCCCTGAAGCCACGATGTAGAAAGGCTTTCTGGCTCCATCAGGTCGCCAGCTGTGTGGTCTGCTTGGTTTATAAGTACGTAATCTACTCTCAAAGTGTACATGCTTTTCACTTATTTGTGAAAAGATGTGTATTTTGATTCCAGGAAATCAAAATTCACATGTCTGTTCTGAAATTTTAATGTGTAAAGAGTAATTTCATTGATTCCTACTTTTACATCTTTTTAAGGAACTAGACAAAATAGTGGCATATGAATTGAAGACTGGTGGAGTTTTACTACATCCCATTTTTGGTGGAGGAAAAGAGAAAGATAAGTATGTTAATTTTTCAGAGATGATATTACAAACCTTGTTTTTAAGGGTTCACATACCCTGGTTTTGAGGGTTGAATGCCCTGGTGGTATTGTAGACAAAGCACTGTACTGCTAACCTCATGGTCAGCAGTTCCAATCCACCAGCTGCTCCTCAGGAGAAATATGAGACTTTCTGTGCCAGTGAAGATGTATAGCCTCAGAAACCCTGTTCCGGGTTGCTGTAAGTCAGAATTGACTTGGTGGCAGTAGGTGGGGGTTACCTGACCACTTCTAGGGATGTTGGAGCACCCAGTTGATGGTGTGTAGTAACGCTGGTGGCAGTAGGTGGGGGTCACCTGACCACTTGTAGGGATGTTGGAGCCCCCAATAGATGGTGTGTAGTAACGCTGATTCCGCTAACATTGGCGGCTCTCTCATCATTCCTTTCAGTTGCTGTTGTTAAGTGCCCTGAAGTCGTTTCCAACTCAGCGACCCTGTATAGGGTTTCCAAGGAGTGGTTGGTGGGTTTGTAACACCTTGTGGTTAGCAGTTCAGTGCTTATCGTACAGTGCCACAGTCAAGACAACTTTCTGTAGGTGTATTGTTTTTATTACATATGATGACTGTTGCTAGTAGTAGAAATCATTGATGTTTCCTGTCACCGTATAATTGTTGCAGATATTTTGAAATATTCTTTGTAATCATCACTACCTCAGAATTACCATTTATTAGACCATGGGTTAGATCTTGGGACTTTATGCATTCGTAAACTCGCACATGTACAACTTAAATATTCATTCAGTAAATATTTTCTGTTTGACTACCTTTTGCTTCATTTACTTTTACCATATCAAAAATTTTACATAGTGTTGTCTTTATGTCTTTGGATTTTGTTTTTTCCACCACAAAATTATAAAAACAATTTTCCCCTTGATTGTACTACATATTTAATTGTTTTCATTTGCTTACCTCAATATGTATTCTATCTTAAATGGGTTTTTTGTGCATGTTGTAACTTTGGGATGTTGATTGGAATTGCTTTGATTTTATTGATTTGGGGAAAATTGAAATGTTTCCAATATTTTGTATTCTGATATTTATAGTATATAGATGATTGTTTCAAGGAGCATAATATTCATGGGTAATGTTATTTCACGAGTCTATCTGTTAGTCAGAATTTGAAAAGTGATCTCCCGGTTTAAAGGGTTTTTAAGGCTGTAGTCTCTGGAGTTCCTCTAGCCTCTGCTGCTCCAGTAAGTGTGGCCTTGTTTCAGAAATTTAAGGCTCGACATTTTTCTCCCATTCTGTCTGGGATCATCTATTGTGTCCCTGGTCAGAACACTCGGCAGTGGTCACCAGGCATTTGTTATATGGTGTAGCATCACAGCAACTTTCAAATTCTTCAAAAACATTTTCACATCTCCTGCACAAGACCTCTTTAAAGTGTTGAAGAGCAAAGATGTCAGTTTGAGGACTAAAGTGCACCTTACCCAAGTCATGGTATTTTCAGTAACCTCTTATACATGCGAAAGTTGGACGGTGAGTAAGGAAGACTGTAGAAGAATTGATGCCTTTGAGTTATGGTGTTGGAGGAGAATATTGAAAGTACCATGGGCTGCCGAAAGAACCAATAGATCTGTGTTGGAAGAAATTACAACCAGAGTGCTCCTTGGAAGCCAGGGTGGTCAGACTTCATCTCTCATACTTCGGACATGTAGTCAGGAGAAACCATTCCCTGGAGAAGGATATCATGTTTGGTAAGGTAGAGGGTCAGAGAAAAAGACAGTGACCCTGCCCCTGCGTGTCCCCTTCCCCCCCAATGAGATGGATTGGCTCAGGGAAGCATTAACGGGCTGAAGCGTGGGAACAATTGTGAGGTTAGCCCAGGACTGGGCAGTTCTTCGTTCTATTGTGCATTGGCTCGCTATAAGTCGATACCAACTCAAAGGCATCTCACAACAACATAGCATTTATCAAATTTGTCGTTTTCTTGCATACTTACTGTCTTCATTTATTTTAGACAAGTTGTACAGACTTCACCCATGTTTGGTATTGCTTAACCTGTCACCCAAAATAACAAATAACAAATAACAAACACCTCCTATTTAGAAAGTAATTCCCCCTTCCCCTGCACTC